TGGGTGCTGACGAGTTGATGGGTGCAGCACAGCAACATGGCACAAGTATACATATGTAACAAACCTGCACGTTATGCACGTGTACCCTAGAACTTAAAAGTATAATAATAATAAAAAATAAATAAATAAATAAATAAAAAAGTTAACTGTAAAACAGCCTCAGGCAGGTCCTTCAGGAGGTATTCCAGAAGGAGGCACTGTTGTCATAGGAGATGACAGCTCCATGCGTATTACTGCCCCAAAGACCTTCCAGTGGGATGAGATGTGGAGGTGGAAGACAGTGATATTGATGAGCTTGACTCTGTATAGGCCTAGGCCAATGTGTGTGTCTGTGTTTTAGTTTTTAACAAAAAGCTTAAAAAGTAAAAAAAAAGAAAAAAAAAAAAAATTAAAGGTGGAAAACAGCTTACAGAATAAGGATATAAATGGAAATTTTTTTGTCTAGCTAATTTATTATTAAAGAACTATTTTATTTTATTTTATTTTATTTTATTGAGAAAGAGTCTCGCTGTCGCCCAGGCTGGAGTGCAGTGGCGTGATCTTGGCTTATTACAATCTCTGCCTCCCAGGTTCAAGCGATTCTCCTGCCTTAGCCTACTAAGTAGCTGGGACTACAGGCGCATACCACTATGCTCGGCTAATTTTTGTATTTCTAGTAGAGATGGGTTTCACCATGCTGACCAGGCTGGTCTCACATTCCTGACCTCAAGGGATCCACCTACCTCAGACCTCCCAAATGACTGGGATTATAGGCATGAGCCACTGTGCCCGGCTGAACAAAAATGTTTCAATTAATTTAATGTAGCCTAAGCGTACAGTGTTTATAAACTATATAGTAGTATACAGGGCTAGGCCTTCACATTCACTCACCACTCACTGACTCACCCCAAGCCAACTTCTAGTCTTGCAAATCCCAATCATGTTAAGTGCCGTATAGCGGTATACTGTCTTTCATACCATGTTTTTACTGTACCTTTTTAATGTTTAGATATGTTCAGATGCACCAATACTTACCATTGTGTTACAACTGCCTAGAGTATTCAGTAACATGCTGTCCATGTTTGTAGTCTAGGGGTAATAGGCTACACTGTATAGCCTACATGTATAGTAGGCTGTAACATCTAGGTCTGTGTAAGTACTATGACATTCGCAAAACAACATTGCCTGAAGATGCATTTCTCAGAACTCATCCCCATCATTAAGCAACACATGACTGTATATGTATCCTTCATGCCTTTTCCCGAATGTCACTGAGACAGAATCTGCATCCAGTTATGACAGCTTTAACATGGTGAATAAATTTTTATTTATTTATTTATTTATTTTTGAGACAGGGTCTCACTCTGTCACCCAGGCTGCAGTAGAGTGGCGTGACTTCAGCTCATGGCAACCTCTGCCTCTTGGGCTCAAGCAATCCTCCCACCTCAGCCTCCTAAGTAGCTGGGACTACAGGTGCCTGCCACCATGCTTGGCTAGTTTTTTAGTTTTTTTCTAGAGGTGGGATCTCACTATATTGTCCAGGCTGGTCTCGAACTCCTGGGCTCAAGCGATCCTCCCACCTCAGCTTTCCAAAGTACTGAAATTACAGGCATGAGCCACCATACCCAGCCTGAATAAAATTAATGTAGGAGTTCTACATTATGAGCCAATTGAATATAGATAGTCACCTTGTCAACATCAACACATTCTTCATCTTCTTCCTTCCTTGTACTAAATTTGCTGCCATAAATCCTTCCAGAATCTGGGCTAAGTTGCCCTGGACTGGCTTACTCCAAGGCCTTCAAAATGGCACTTGATGCTTTTACAGACTGCCAGGCAACACGCAAATGGCTCTCAAACCAACATGTCTGGCCACAGCCATTCCTTTGAGTTTCAGACCTACTATTTGCTAACCACCTGACCAACTCTGAAAAAGACTTCGTTTGCTGAACTTGGTTAGCTCCAAGTCTCATTATATTACAAAATCACATAAGCTCAGCACATAGCCACATTTGCTCCTCAAATTCATTTTGCCTTTACACTTAACAATGGGTCAGTTTTAAAGGCACTATCTGACCTTTTACCAAAGGAAGTTTGGCATCCTTAATTTAGAATAGCTTTAACACTTCTGCTAACTCTGCTATTTATATACCCTAAAAGCCTTAACTCTCTACTGCCATTAAAGTTCAGTTTCCTCATTGAAAATATTCCATTAAGAATTCTATCTGGCAAAGCTGTGGTGAAGATTAGAAGTGCTGTGCAGCACAGTACCTGGCATATAGTACCTCCACAAACACTGGCCATCGTTAATTGTCACTTCAGGCCAAGATACATGTATGCTCCTCTGGCATGCGGCTTCTGAATGAGCTAAGGACACTTAAAACCTTACTATTCCCCCCACAAACTACAAGGCCACACCACAGATGAAGGGCCTGTGTGACACACAGTAAAGCCTGCCTAGGGTAGAAGCCAACACTAGCATCTAGCTACAATCTATTGTTGCTAAGCGTTTTATGGAAGTCATTTCATTTAATCTTCACTATTCTGTGAATTCAATGTTAGTTATTTCCACTTTATAGATGAGGAAAATGGAGGCTTAGAAAAATTTTAAAACTTGCCCTAACTGGAGAGCCAGAAAGTAGCAGAACTAGAGTAGCTATAAGCCTGCAATCTTTTAAGGTTGACTACCTTCCATTTATTTTTTAACTGACAGATAAAATTGTATGTATTTATCAATGTATAACATGTTTTGAAGTGTATATACATTGTGGAAGGGTTAAATCTAATTAATATATGCATTACCTCACATAGTTACCATTTTTATAGTAAGAACACTTAACAGTCACTCTCTTAGCATTCTTCAAGAATATAGTATATGGGCCAGACACGGTGGCTCACACCTGTAATCCCAGAACTTTGGGAGGCTGAGGCAGGTGGATCATTTGAGGCCACGAGTTTGAGACCACCCTGGCTAACATGGTAAAACCCCATTTCTACTAAAAAGACAACAAAAAAAAAAAATTAGCTGGGCATGGTGGTGCACACAGCATGTAGTCCCAGCTACTCTGGAGTCTGAGGCATAAGAATCACTTGAACCCAGGAAGTAGAGGTTGCAGTGAGCTGAGATCATGCCATTGCACTCCAGCCTGGGCAACAAAGTAAGACTCTGTCTCCAAAAAAAAAGAATATATGGTCACTGACTATAGTCTCCATGTTGTCCAACAGACCTCTAGAACTTATTCCTCCAAAATGAATTTTGTATCCTTTGACCATCATCTCCCCAAACCCCCTCCCAACCACCCCAGACCCTGGTGACTGCCATTCAACTCTATATTTCTATGAGAGCAACATTTTCAGATTCCACACATGAGTGAGATCATGTATTACTGGAGTTTCTGGGCCTGGCTTTATTTCACTTAACATCCTCCAGGTTCATCCATGCTGATGCAAATGACAGGATGTCCTTCTTTATGGCTGAAGAGCATTTTATTATGTATATATACCACATTTTCTTTATTTACTCATCAGCTAATGGACACTTAGGTTAATTCCATATCCCAGCTACTGTGAACAGTGCTGCAATAAACATGGGAGTGCAGATATCTCTTCAACATACTGATTTCATTTCTAAGTCAGCATTCCTAATAGCTACACTACCCTGTGTCACACCAGGGCTGGCTGTTGAGACTTTCCATTACCTACCTTGACCTGACCACCCTCTTCCACATTATTAAGAGGCTCCCAGCTGCTAGTCTTTGCTGCTAATGCCTCTTGTTCCGTGCTTCCCCTCCCATTCACCGACTTGCAAGTTTTGTTTTGTTTTTTCACATTGTCAGGGATAGCTGTAAAAACTAGTCTCAATGTGTATACCCCCTTTTTTCCTCATCGGTAAAACAAATTTTACCTTTGGTGCTACACAATTTTTTACTCCTCCTGGTTTAAGTCCCATTTCAAATAACAGAGGTTTATCTCTACAGGCTGGCTGATCTACGCAAAAATGAAGTGTTACTACTGAATAGCTTTTATGCCAACAGTGATTTTTAATGAATTAAGTGAATTCAATCAATTCATTTGCAGATATAGATAAAAGGCTTTAATGCTGCTTTCCTTGAGTAACTTGTTAGTTGTTGATTATATTAAGTTAAGCTTTCCCATCTAAGCTTAGACATTAAGCCAACCCTTTACCTCTTCAAATTCACTTCAGGGCTCCATCCACACTACCTGTGGGATGTTTCCCAGCATACCCCTTGCTTGATAGACTTGCCTTAACTCATACCTTTCCTAACACTCATCAGGGTCACTTTAGTTGTTCCCATCTATCTAATTAGTTCACAAAGAACTAACCTGCATCTTCTAAAAACTTCTAAAACGCTTGTTACTAGAATAAAAAAAAAGTAGGTTAACAAAATACAAATAGAGCAAAATGAAATAAATTATTAGAGCAAGAATTCCTTAAAATTCAGAATTAAATACAAACAAGTTTATCATCAACAGAGTATTTATGAAAAAAGTTTCATCTCTGGGTCTCTTGGGCTTTAATGCAAGTAAAATAATTTAAAAAGTAAATCAATTCTACCAAACGTGTATCATACTGGCCTCTGTGAATCATCTGTTTGAATTAGCCACAGCTCCAGTAACAGGTGTACTTAATTCAGATTCTCCCAAAGGAACCTAATATCCACCAACCAGCCAGAATTACAAAGAAATCAAAATTAATCAATAAAATGAGCAGTTAATGATAAATAAAAGTAACTTACCTACTTCAGTGAGCTGATGTCTTTCTAATGTTAAATTCTTTGGATCCTTAATAAAATGAAAGGGTTGTATTTTTATTCCTTCAATTTGAGGGAATAATAAAGCAAAACCAGATTCTCCAATTTCTATTTCCTGAGGTCGATTGCTACCTGATCCCATTGGAGTCACTAGAGAAAAAGTTAAACAGTTTCATCAATACATTCAGTAAAAACTAGATAACCACAGTCTAGGTCACTAAGATAATCATCAAGCTAACAAGCCACTATCTGAGTAAAAGTTTTTCAGCTTTGACAGTTTTAGGGTGTAGTGTCATGTTTGCAATTTAACTTTCAAATGGTTCAGAAAGAAATTTTGTATAAGCAAAGTGAGAAAACACAAATGTTGCAAAATTTTTTCAACTGCTAAACTAGATAAAGGGTATATGGGTATTTATCATGCTATTCTATTATTCTTTCAACTTTTCCATACTTTTCAAAATAAAAAGTTGGGGGAGTAGTAAATACACTTTCACAGCAATTCCAATTTTTAAAAGTTTACCCTAAAAATATTTGACAATTATATAAAGTATATATATACCCAAGTATTTTATCACATAATTTCAAATAGGAAATAAACAGAAAAAACCTGAATGTCCCACACTGGTATTGAGATTAAAAGTTACACTGGTATCATAGAATATAGCCATTAAAATGATGACAAATGTATATTTATAGACATAGAAATATGTTTGTAATATGCTCTGAATTTTACAGGTAGATATTACAGATTGAACTGTGTCATCCCCCTCCCTACTGCCTACCCCAAATTCATGTTGAAGCCCTAACCCCCCATGTGACTATATTTGGAGATAAGGCCTTTAAAGAGATAGTTAAGATTAAATGAGGTAGGCCAGGTGCGGTGGCTCAAGCCTGTAATCCCAGCACTTTGGGAGGCCGAGACGGGCGGATCACGAGGTCAGGAGATCGAGACCATCCTGGCTAACACGGTGAA